CACGCGCAATGTCCAAGCTGCAGCTCTAGGGGTTTTAACCCGGTCTTCACACAGTGACAGGCTTGCCGGTGAGCTGGCCGCGGATCTCGTTCAACCCAGTAAGTGTTGCCGTTCAGTCCGTTTTCTGACTCGGGTTAACGCGCGATGTCGCTAGGCAGGACATTCATGGCCAGCATGGCCGTCATCTTGGACAACTTCGCAAAATCGCAGCAGAGATCTCTTCAGAGCATGAAGGATACTTGCAGAAACCTACGACAAAGGAATGCGCGTCTAATGGAGTTTCTGAACAATAGTACGTGTTTTCTAGCGGAGCTGTGTGGTCGACTGCAAAAGCGTCCAGCTAATTCTCTGTAGATGGTGATATGCAGCCAATCCCTTCGATAGAACCTCAACAGAATCGGGCATCTCTCCCTCCACAAGGAGCGATATATGGCAATATGTATCCACAGAACTTTTGAATGGTTCAGACACATGTCAAGGATGTCTTGATACGGGTCACGTGCGCTATCTCGGCAGATCTCGTTTGTCCGAAGCTAGTTAGTGACGGCAAGGCCCCATTATCATCCGCACAATCTTCCTTCAACTTAAAATCTCAGACTCAGCTTATCTTGACGACTTCACAATCCTGCTCAAGGCGGCGACGAGTCCCTGATTCGACTAGGCTGTCGGCAGAACCTCCTCGATATTTGCCATGCTTTGCGTCAGAAAACAAACAACATACATCGCTCAAGATGTTGGTGATCCTGTGGGACCCTGACACGCTCCTGCACAAGACCGTTGAGCTGTTAGGCTCAAACCTCATTCCTGCACTAGAATCACCGGAACGTCTCGAAGCAATCCTCAAAGCTCTGCACAACTCTGAGTATAGATCTGGGACAAGGCAACTCAGCTCTCTGTGGGAAGGCCCAAAGTCGCGACTTCTGGAACTCACCTCAGAAACCCATGGCCACGAATATCTGCAACATCTACGCAATGTATACGAGGAGTGGCTGTCAGCGGGCCTGATTGAGAAAGACGGCCATGTTCTGCCAGAGTGTTTCGTGTTTCCGACTTCGACGGGAAAGCCACTCCGTCCACCCAAGGATCTCTTTGCACGAGCGGGCTATTATGCCTTCGATATGAGTAGTGGCATCATGTCGGAGAGTTATCGAGCCATAATTGCTTCCGCCAACCTTGCATGCGAAGGGACGGACATGCTTTGCGGCTTCGATGACCGACCCCACGATATTGACACAGTCGTAGCTCTCTGTCGTCCTCCAGGGCACCACTGCGACGGTCAACGAGCAGGCGGCTACTGCTACATCAACAATGCAGCTCTAGCGGTGAGCACATGGCGCTCACATCAATCTGATGCGCAAATTGGGATCTTGGACCTCGACTTTCACCACGGCAACGGTACCCAGGAGATTTTCTACGCTGACGCCAAGGTTTTGTACGTAAGCATTCATGGCGAAGACGAATTTCCATATTACACTGGCGCAGAAGACGAAACAGGTAGTGATGAGGGAAAGGGTATGAATATCAACCTCCCTCTCGAAGTCGGCAGTCCTATCGAAGAATATTTGGAGAAACTCGACTATGGCCTGAAGAAACTAGTGGAGTTCAAGACCGAGTTCCTCATCGTGAGTCTTGGGTTCGACACTTTTCATGCGGACCCGTTGGGGCATTTCCAGATTCACACAGAAGACTATGAGACTATTGCGAGGACGACGAGACAGGCGCTCAAGGAGGTGCCCGCTCTCATTCTTCTTGAGGGCGGATACGTTATTGAGCACCTTGGTCTGAACATGTTGTCATTCCTCAACGGATGGAAGTCTGCCTGAGCTGCAATCATCACGCCTGCCGATTCTTTCCGTCACCGCCGTCCGTCTTCAGGCATGATGATGTATTGCCTTGACCCGTGGCACCGGCGTACCGACATTTGCGGGGATGAAGTTGCAGAGAGGGAAGCGTGGTCGAACCCGATCCGAGGTGTCAGTCTGCTGTCTGCGAAGATCCATGACAGCTTCTGTGCACTATGTCAGCAACTGTGCCCGGGCGAGAAGTGAAACACCAGAGGCAGCTACCTAGGCGCTGACGGTTTGCTCGGTGAGTTTGCCACAGAGTGTACATGCCAGTGAAGAACATGACAATACCAAAGAGGACATTACTAAGAAGCTCAGGAGATATGTGTGGGGGACTGGGGAGGCGTGTTGTGTATTTTACAATATACTCCGCCGGTCGTAAGGCTGAGAATGCTTTTGACTTGACTCTTGAGAGGAGGTTAAGTTGAGTCAAGTATCAACGCAGTTTATGTACGAGAGGAAATGGGAGTTGTCTCTAGGTCGATCAACCGTGAGACGTAAGGAGCGACAATTCTAAATTAATACAGCGAGATGGGTAAATCCATTTCGTCGTCACGTGTCCGGCTCGCCGGGTGCCAAAGGGCAGGCTGCACGCGTGTGAGGAGCATGCGAGCCTGCAAGGCTCACCAAACTCGAGGTTCCAAGCGAGGAGTGCCGCTCCACAGCCTGTCACTGTGGGCTCACGGCCTTGTTCTTTTGACCATTGATATTGGCGTCGGCCGGATGACTCCGTTGAGCAGAAGACACCAAGGCTGCAAAGCGTGCATGGAAATGGAGCTTTTGAGCATGAACCCTGTCGAAGTTTATTAGCGTAAAGACAAAAAGATTGATCAATGAGAAGTCGGCGGGCCTTTCGTGATCAATACAGACTACTCAATGACCAATGGATGTAGGATATGGACCACGGTTCGTACAATCTGCTTCGTCAATCCCGGAGGTGCGGGGAGGAGAACAGGGGCAGGGTCAAGGGTAACTGATACTTGCCCATGATGTCCATTGCTGGCCCCCAAGCAGTGAGAAAAGAAAACGCTCACCATCACCGCCGCAAGTGTTGCTCGACGAGAAGCCATCCACCGTCCAGCCCGCCATCCAGTGTGCTTCATGGGCCAATCATGGTTGGTTACGCTGTCGATCAAGAGCGCCGCCGACAGCTCCCAGAAAATCCCAGATAAACCCCAAAAATCCGAAAAATTCCATTAAAAAAAATCTTAGAAAATCTTAGATCTACAAAGTCTTTAGAAAAGTTCCGGAGGGCGCCCAATACTTCGAGCGAACATCGGTAAATAAAGGGAGCAAGTTAGATGCTAAGCGAACGAGTTGGAGAGGAGAAAATGCTCTTCATTCTCACTTCTTTTCCCCTTCCTCTTCACGATTGGCACCTGAGTGATAGGAATCAGTTGGCTATGTTCCAGCACCCAAAGGGTTGCGATTTGTTGCAATCCAACAACGCCCTCCCCTTACCCATTGATGCTGAATGACACTGAATCCCTTGCATACCTGTTTTGCACTTGGCTTCAGTCATATATTCCCTGCCGGTCCATGTAATGCCACATCCCCCTTTCTCACTCTCCCACCGATCATCTCCTGTTACTCTGCCTCATACTCAAAATCTGTACCATCCGAATAAAGATGTTCAAAAAGTCCAACTCGAGCGAGATGCTTTCATTGACCACATCCTTCCTCACCAACCCCCGTTCACTCATCCTAGCATGGTGCAAAATCTTCTGCACATCGTAGAGCGTAAATCCACCAAAGACGGCAAGCCCACCATACAGCCAAATATTCTCAGTCCACGCGAGCGTGCGAACTGCCGTGGCAGGGAGAACCAACGGCGCAAATCCGGAGATGGCGACGATGGCGACACCCGCAAGTAATGGCCCTCCCAAGTATAGGTACTTCTCTTGTTTGGCCGTGGCCCCGATGAAAGCGATCGAGCCCATCATGCCAACGGTGTAGAGGCCGGCGCGAGCGAGGATAGCGGGAGACAGGAACATTAACGGAGTGAGGATGGCGGCTTGAGTGACATTGAAAGCGGTCCAGAGAGCGTATTTTTGGATGTAGCTGTGGCACCTTGTCAGTAAACGTATTCTTTGATCTGGCCGAGTAAGGGGGCTGCTAAAGAACTTACTTATCTGGATGGGTATAGAACGTGCCGTACATGGTGCCAATGCTAGCGGCGAGGCCCAACCCAACCACCAACCAAGGGTTCGTGGCCATCAATCTATAACTCCAGCCGCTCTGGTGTAGCGTGCGGGCCGCAAGGGCGATAATCCCCACGCCCAAGCCGGTGTGCATAAATGTCTGGTTCAAGTACTCGCGCTCGAAGGGAGGCATGCCGCCATCTTCGCGTGTTTCGCGGTTAAAGATGAGATTGGTGGCAACAATGGTTCCGCCGACCAGCGCAGCGCCGTAAAGAAGCCGCTGTGTCAGGTTTCCGCTGGCGGTTGGGTTGGCAGGTTGGTACGCGGGCGTTTGATAGCCGCGCTTGAAACCATTGCGTAGAGCGGCTGATTTCAGCAGCGACTGTGCGTTCGACGCCGAGGCAAATGGCCGAGGGTTGAAGAAGGTGTTGGATGACTTGGGACTGGAGGAGTGGAATGCTCGGACAAGCGTTGAGGGTTTGCTGAATTGTCTGAAGGCGTTCGAGGAGACCGCAAAGGGTCTCCTGAGCACGAAGGACATGATGAATGCGCTCCTCGACAAGAAGTAGGCGATGGTCGAAAAGTGAGGAAGAGAGTCGTTAATGGGATGGTAGAAAGACGATGCAAGTTGCAGGACGCAGGCACAAAGGAAGCTTCGCTATGCGTGTAAATTGTATTTGTACTTTGGTAATAGACCGAGGCGCCACCGGCTCTGATGACGCACTCGCAACCCCAGGCTGTTTGATTGGCCATCGGGTGTAGCTCCGTGTCACATGGCACCGGATAGGAATATCCGACGCCGCTTTTACGCTCTTCTCGATGTTTCCAACAAGGCTTCAACTCGTATCTGCCTTTCTGCACGGCACAGAGTAATGCTCATCTAGGTAACAAGAGTAACAACTGCTTGCACTCCTACGGTTCATATCCTCTCGCTTGCTACCATACACGACGCCATGCCCACGTTCATCCCTCCGACCCGGTCGCAACCCTTTTGCAACAGTCTCCAGATTCGACCTCACGGAATATACCTGAAGTCAGGGTGCTTATGGCCCAGATCCCGCTTCTCAGCGTCATTCAATCCCTCAAGTCGATAGGTCCTCTTTCCTTGATCCCGCACCCGATTCTCACGCATGTTGTATGCAATGCCGAAGCTAGCTACACAGAGGACGATGATCTGGGCTGACAGATTGATGGTGTGACCAATGGGGTATCGAGGTGCGTCGCGGACAAGGTAGGTCCATCTATTGAGTGTCAGTCTATTTCTATCCAGGGGATGCTCTGAGTCCGGGCTTTCTCACGTGGCGAGGACACCTCCTAATGTGCCAACCGAGACAATCCACGCAGTCGCCACAGCACGCACTGCTGGTCCAGCAGAATCTGCCAAGTGTTAGCAACCATGTCTCCAGCATGAGGGCACTCAACCTACTGTTGATTCCCCACGATAGGAACCCAGGCCCACCCGGGAATGCTCCTGTGGTGATAAAATACACGGCCATGTAGCGGATCGACGCATTCGTGCTCCATCGGAGAATAGAAAACCCGGCAATGGGGAAGAAGGTGGCCACTGCGAGGTAAATGCCACGCCTGCGAGTTTTGTCGCTGATATATGCAATCAAAATCGCCACGAGACACGCAGCCACATAGGGCGGCACCGAATATAGCTGTGCCTTGGTTGCGGTCCAGCCCAGATCCGCCAGGATTGTCGGCATGAAGATGGAGAGACCTTGGACGGTGATGTTGATGAGGAAGAAGCCAGCGGCACAAAGATTGTTGTTGATGTTGAAGATGGCGGCTCTGATGTGATGCCATTGAACCTTCTCCATTGGATCCTATTTTCGTCAGTTTTGGTCTCTGAATAAACATCACAGGGCGCTCACAGCGCGATGCTCTCGGATCAACCGTTCATGCGCAATATGCCGTTCCCGTTCGGTGAGGAACCGACAAGTCTGTGGATTAGACGGCATTAAAGCTGGAGCAGCCGCAGCGACGATGACAGTGATCTACAAGACATTAGCTCAATTTACTGTTGCAGCACACCTGGAACGCACCAAACCCTCGAAGAAGAAGATATTTCTCCAGCTACAAACAAATTGTCAGACATTACACTGGCCTCGCTCATCCGTCACTGCCACTCACGTATGGATAGGCGTAGACTCGGTTCCCCAACGAGGGATGCGGCTGAGATCCGTCAGCAATGGGAAATATTTGTCTGCAGATGGCGGTACTTACGAGAGAGCTGTGGCAAACAAACCTCCAAAAGCCCCAGCGATCGAAGCAGCCGAAATGAAAATTCCAATCCGAAAATACAACTCCCGCCGCTTGTAGAATGTGCTCAGGAAGAATGAGATCCCAGGCATCGTCCCGCCTTCGAAGATACCCAGAAATGCCCTCGCAACACACAGCTGGTCGAAGCTCTTAACAAAGGCGGTACAGAGAGACACCAACCCGAAGCCAAAAACCAGTCCCGGAATATAGAATCGAGGGCCGATGTGCTTCAGGAGGATGTTGCTGGGAACTTCCACCAAGAGATAGATAATGTAGAAGACGCTCAGCGCCCAGTTGAAGCGGTAACCAACAAGGTCAAGGTCCTTGGCCATTCCCTGAATGCGAGCATTGCCGATGTTGGCGCGATCGAGAAAGCAAAAGAGGTACAACAAAGTGACGAGAGGCACAATTCGCCGGTCAATCTTTCGCCTGATGGTCGTCTCTTCCTGCTCTGTCCAGTCGATCTCCTCGGTTGATGACTCGCTCTTGGTAGGATCCAACTCAAGATGGTCCAAATCCGAAGCTTTCAGAGTCCCTCCTGGAATTCCAGCCATGGTCCGAGTGAAACGTGGATGTTGAATGTCAATCTAAGCTATTGGCGACTGTGATGAACACATACAGATCAAGTACAGGTCTGGCAACGAGAGGTTTCGAAGCCGTGTATTTAAGCGGAGAGTTCGAGGTAACTCCAGGCCTCACCAACGCCCCACATTCGAATACAGATTGCGGATCATCATCAAAGAGGACTTCCATGTTGTTGCTCCGGCATGCGTGATACAGCGTGTCCCATCCGGTGGGGAGGAGGCCCTGCGCCCTGAACATCCCGGCTGTCGTCACCGGGAGTCGTGATGCTCTGGTCGCTCCCACAGTGCCCAGGGACAGCAAATGGCCAAGGCAGATGAAATATCCCCTGCAGGTTGATAGGTCTTTGCAAGGTGGCTGGAGGAAGCCAAGTAACAAGCCAGTCTTGGAATCTGGGGAGGGGGGAAAGATGGGCTTTTGAAAGCGAATTGAAAAGGAAGGAGAACAACCTCGAAAGGGATCGTTTCTTGGCTGTCCGGGGTCGAATGTCGGTGGCGGACTGGCTGTCTAGCGGGAGATGATCATGCTGTTAACAGGCACCGAACAGATGTCGATCGCATTTGGACGGCCAATAGACCATTCATTTGCGATGCACCACGTATGGTCGTGATGGCTTTGTCTGTTTCATTCTCACATTGAGGCTGTCGAGCTTTGTAGACGATATTGTGACGGGTCTGCAACGACGAGGCTGTCCGCTTTGAGCTCGGAGCACGAACCCCGAGCGGGAAAGCGCGTTTGGGCGAGGAGCAACAGCAGTTTGGTGGAACATGACCAGGGTTGAGGAATACGAAGACGGCGGACGGTGCTTCTTTTGTTCTCCTGGGTAAGATTGTTCCATTGCCCAGACGCCTAGACTTCGGCAGTTGAGTTGAAAGACATCACCACTTTATCCGCTGCGCCCTCCACCTCAATGCTGACCTGTGGGAGTTGTAATGAGGACTTGAAGATGTGGATCGAGGTCAGCAGGTTCTTTTTGGGTCCTCAAGAATATCGCTAGAGACACAGGAAAAGGGAAGAGAGATAAACATCGTACAGACGAATGGGAAACAAACCCTCACGCCTTCTTCAACGAGCCTAGTGGGAGAAATCTATCATCTCAGCCTTCTATTACAGTTGTTCCCTCCCACGTTCAATGTAAGAACTCATCCATCCCTGAAGAATTGCAGAATATCAATCCCCGCCTCTTCCTCTCCAGCTTTGCCCATAACATCCCCGCCATAGGTAAAATATCCCTCCAAATTGCCTTGTACAGGTATCGAATTCGCTCTGATCTCCTCCGGCGTCCCGAACACCCACACCGTCTGCTGGCCCATTACGATATGCTGCAGGATATGACAGTGCATCATCCACACGCCAATATTCCTCTCAGTGATGCGTATGCGCCATACTCGCCAGCCATTCACCTCCCCAGGCTGAGGGGCCTGCAAAGTATATTTATATAACAAGGTCGTGTCACGCCGCGAGCCGGGGTAAGGGCCATTGCCCGCTGAATAGGATTCCAGCAGTACCGCGTGAGCTTCCGGTGAGTATTCTCCTGAGCCAGAACCCAGGTCCCAATAGGGTCCACCGTGAGCATGCATGGGATGCAGACCGTAGATCCCCGCTGGGTATGAAGCAGCATTCTGCCATACAATTTCAAGGACCTCACCGATTCGGGCTGGATACATCTGTGAGAGAGGATCAAAGGCCCCGTTGGCGATTGCACGGCCGTAGTCTGGAGTGACACCATTGATGGTCCCGTTTTGAAGAATCTCAACGAGGTACGGCGTGTTCGTTGTTGGTCCTAGGGGAGCGGTATCGGTCCAGTATTCGTTGTTGGAGAGCATCACTGTGTAGCCGGAGGAGTTATTGAGGAATTGTGAGGTTGAGATGATGATGCGGCGAGTCACTTCCGTTGCATTAGGGGGAGCTTCGTAGCCTGCCAAGGGAGGATTTTGAAAAGCATACTCGAGCCAACCTGTTACGTTGGCGGGTAGGTCAAGGATTGGTGCCGGAGGGAGGGAACCCGGACATGATGAGTTTGAGGCTGGATCGCGACGGTCCCCCGGCTCGCTATGCTCTAATCCTTGCCGCGTCGGAATGTTCGTGTCGGCATAATTGAGAATAGCCCATGCAAAAACCGTTCTCTGACCTTCTCGAGTCTCAAACTGGATCCAGAATCTCGTCTGTCCATTCAAACAATCCAATTCACTTTGCGATTTCGTCTTCAACAAGAAACTGAACCTCTGACCTGTGTCGATCTGCATATACGACGTCTCTACGGGATAGACGTAGGAGTTGTCCGTTTCGATGATGGTCAGATTGTCGTGATGTTCCAAGCCAAATAGCACCAGAGACAAGGCAGTGCTGCCAATGAGGCGCACTCGATACGTCTTGTTGGTCTCGACATTCATGATCCAAGGTTGACATGAAGGGTCAGACGGACCTGGATTAGAAGCGTTAGGAGCTGTTCCACTTTGTCCATTAATTAGCAGAGATGTCGGATCTCCCGGCCATATCCAGGGAACGTCTGTCAACTGTGATTCGATTGTTTGATCGTCCTCGGGGTAAAAGTCGCCGATTTTCAGAATAATCTCATCGTCGTAAACATATGGCGGAGGCATAGCATCCTTTATAATCAATGCCCCCGATGCTGTGATGGCTTGGAAGCCCACGTGCGAATGATAGAAGGACGTTCCAGCTTCGCTACCGCTGGGATGGAGCTCGTAATCATAGAAATGTCCAGGAGGAATTGGCCATTGTGAAGCCAATGGTGCCCCGTCAGCAAAGGGCGCCGCAGCCAGTGAGAGACCATGCCAATGCTATATATACGTGCGACCGGTTAGCAAGCAAAGTCTCGTGTGCGATCCTCTGGGAGGAGTTCAACCTGCCATTGTCGTATTCACGTTCGCGTCGTTGTACACCCGAATCCATGTTGTTCGCTCGGGCTCGAGATATATGGGGGGTGCTGGATATGTGCCGTTGACCAGCGTTGAGAGACGAGGCTGACAGTTGAGCTGGACAGTGTCGACGCTGACCCGCAGAACAATGTCGGGGGTGAAGCTAGCATCGTGTCTCACCAGCTTCTTCGCATTGCTTAGAGAAATAGCTAACGTGCAAATGTAAATGCAGGCGTGTAGCCAGCACGAGAAATGGAACAGCATTGCACATAGGATATCCACGTAATAAACAACAGAGTAGTAAGCGTAAAACACGATGGCGAGATGAGGACTGTCTCAAACCTCACTCTAGAAGCGTTGAAGGTTCGCAGTGGTGGGCGCCTCGTAGCCATATCCGATCCAGATGAACCTCACAACGGCCTGCAACAGACTCCTCTGTCCAGGCCACGCGGCAAAGCTACGTCAGCTCTGGTTGAGAATTTGAATTTAGCTCGTTCTGTAACTGATATAATATGTTGTTATCCGGTGCAATGAACAGGAGAGCAGCTGTGTTCAGGAGCTCAGTCGCGAGGATCGCCAGAGGCTAGGTAACGCCAGCAAAGACATTGCGGAAGTCCGAAGCCGGGATGCCACGGCAACGGCGATGCAGAGATGCTTGTGACACCTAAGTTCATGGTTGTGCAACGTTTATTGAAGGATTAATGGAGCTTCTCCGGACAATGGAGAGATCTGAATGGATGTCAGGTGGAAAAAAGGGGGGATTTGAACTTACTGTCTGGCAAAATGGTTTTCCGTATCTCGCGAGGCTTGTTACTTCTCCTATCGGCATGGCCAAGCACGCCTCGAGGTCAAAACTTTCTGTCAGACTAAATGCTCGCAAAGGATTACGCTGCCTCTACCAGCCACAACACGGGAGCCTCGCCAACACAAAATGTTGCAACTAGACTCTATCGCAGTTCTGGCGATCTATATCTATAGCAATCCCCTCTCTAGGAAAGACATGTTGGCTTACAGCTTCGGAAACCTCACTCTTAGGAATTGGCTGGGCCAGGCGACGTCAACACCCAACTTCCAACCCACTTTCAACACCCACTCCGGCTCTCTCATAAATTGTCTCGCCACAAGAATAACATCTGCCATAGGCTCCTTGCCACCTTTAGCATCTGTCATCTCGTTTGCGGCGTTGGCTTCCTCTCCGATACTCTTGTCCGATCCTTTGTCGTCAACAATATCTCTTGCCTGCTCGGCTTCCGTGATCAGGCCCACAGCGCCAATCAGCAACTTCAGGTTGTTTGCCTTCATCATCTGCCGGATCTGGTGCGCGATCTTGGTCTGATAGTCCTTGGACGAAAACATGTTGATGCGCTGCCGAGGATGATTCCCGCCACTGCTGGCGTCGAGAAGATCCACCCCCAACCCAGGAAGTAGACGAGCCAGTTTCATCGTATTTTCCACATCCCAGCTTCCGAGCTGCTTGCCCAAGTCCGTCTCCTCCATCCACTCCGTGGAACTGACCCGCAAGAACAGAGGCATATCTTGTGGTATCTGTGCCCGGACAGCTTTGATGACCTCAACCAGCATGCGTGTGCGATTCTCAAAGCTGCCGCCGTACTGGTCGGTGCGCCTATTTGTGATGGGACTCAGGAATTGATGTATCAGGTAGCCATGCGCAGCGTGGATTTCAATAACATCGATGCCGGCTTCCACGGCTCTGCGCGCGCTCTCTGCAAATGCTTTGACGACGCCTTGGATCTCCTCCACACTCAACTGCCTCGGAGGCCAAAAGCCGCCGTCCTGCGATAATCCTTTGCCATCCCAGCTCTCCTCTGGCCCGCCCATCGGTCCTACCACATCGTCTGGCCATCCATCGGCATCCTTGTCCGCGCGGACAGACGGCCTCTTGACAGATGATGCCAGCCACGGCGGCATAGTGCTTGACTTTCGTCCGGCGTGAGCTAACTGGATCCCGGACAGGGCACCCTGCGACCTGACAAAGTCTGAGACGCGTTTGACGCTTTCAGTCTGCGCGTCACTCCACAGCCCAGGGCAGTTGGGGCTAATTCGTCCATTCGGCTGCACGCCCGTTGCTTCAATGAAGACTAAAGCCGCTCCCTTCAGGGCGTAATGGCCTAGCGTTGCAATGTGATAGTCGGTGAGTTTGCCAATATCTGGACCCGAAGAAGCCGTGGAGTATTGGCACATCGGTGCCACTATTATGCGGTTGCGCAGTGTCTTGGAACGGATCCTTAGAGGGGTGAAGAGTGTCGGGGTATCAGGAGATGCAGTGAACGGCGCACCCGGATCCGCAGCATGGGCAGGGGTGAAATATGGTATACCTGGGACGCTCTTGTTGACGAGCATAGGGGAACTTGACGTACCCATGGCTGGGGACGCTGAACCGCCGCAGTCAGCAGTATCCGGTTCTTCGTGTTTAGGATGGCGACGGTGCCTCTATGCAATCGCGGAAAAAAGAGCGAAAACACCTAGAGGCCAAGAGCTAGTCTTGGGAACGAAATCCGACGATGGATCTACAGGGAACCGAATTTATACTTGTACAACCACGGGAACAAGAGAGATAGGTGATGAGACAATGGCAGTTGATTTCTAAGACAGCTGGAAGATATTGGAGAATTGATAGTGCGGGATCCGGGGCAAACACCGGTTTAGCCGAGGCAATATGGCACCATATCCCTGCATCTGATGTACCGAGTAGGTACGCCATGGAACGCCGTATACTTCCTGAATTGTGTCTCCAACTGCTCCGTCTAGTAGATGGACCGACGAATAGGGGGTGAAGGCTACGAAGTATGGTAAGACGAAGGACTCGGTATGCTTCTATATGGAGGGTTAGGAGGTAATGTGGGTCGTATGGCTTTTTTGTTGGCTCTGGATCAGGCATTGCTCCCTGTGGACGATAGCATTATCCGATTAACAACCCTTTTGTTTGGCACGGTAAGACCCATTGAGATCACCATGCTCGGCTGACTGCTTCAAGAAAACGAGGGCATTCAAAGTCCAAGTATGTGATGTCTTCCAGAGGGGTCATCACCATGGCAGCTCGTATCCCTCACGGTGCCAAAACTTGCCCGTGTCTTCAATTGTCTTCTTGCTGACAATATTCTCCCACAGCTTTCTCGCCGCCTCGTCTGGTTCTACTGTCTCTGGGGGCATCTTCGCAGTCGGCAACAAATTTGTCCTGACATATCCAGGATGCAACAGCATGACTGTAACGCCCTTATCTTTCAGGTCCATTGCCATGCTTTTGCCAATCGAGTTGACAGCGGCCTTGGAAGAGCGGTAGGCATAATGTCCGCCAGAACTGTTGTCGCCCATTGAGCCTACGCGGCTCGAAACAATACCGATTTTTGGCTTAGAGGCCTTCAGGACGTTGGGCAACAGCGCCTGCGTAAGAAGGAAGACCCCAAAAGTGTTGACCGCAAACGTGCTTTGGAAGACTTGCAGATTGCTCGTTGTTAGACTGTCGTCTTCATTGGCGGCGGCAACACCTGTTCAAACCTATCCGTTACTTGCTCTCTTTTCACCATGCTCGTGGTACGAGGAGGGGTTGTCACACCTGCAATGTTGAGCAAGAGGTCAACTGTCGTGTCACCGAGAGAGTCCTTGAACTTTTGAATCGACTCGGGCGAAGTCACATCAACTTCTGAAACGTGAGCCGTTTTAACCTTCAAGGCCTGGAGTCCATCTCCTTCATTCCGGTCGACCGCGTAAACCGTGTAGCCCTACCTGGAGCGTTATCTCGATTGATTTTTGCGCAGTGGCCGAGCTAACCTCATCGCACAGTATTGTGGCAAACGCATGGGCGATCCCAGAGTTTGCCCCCGTAACGACAGCAGTAGGCATCCTGGTGCTTGCAATTGCCGATGGGTCAATAGAATTCTTATCCAAGAAGCGGGTGAAATTGAAGAAGAAGCCTCAAATCCTTCCTCCCTGTACTTTCGTTTGTTAGCTTGGCTGGTCGCAATGGGATTCTGCGAATATTTAGTAATCCTGTAGACATATGACGTGATTTGTTACCCTTAGTCAATCATGTCTCGGGCAGCCACTCAAGGGAAATGAGGTGGTAGAAGAAGGACCGCGATGGCAGTGATTAGGGCGCCATTGAGGCACGCAGGCTTGCCCTTGCCAAGAGGCTAGTGAGGCTGGAGCCCAACGAGCGGGATTGCCACCGTGGATTCCCAGCCCTGGGCCGGCCTGGGCTTGCCTGGGGGCATCCTTCCAAGTGGTGTCCCGGCATTTAGGTCTGTAATTTAGGCGACCCAACCCCCGTTTTCCAGGTGTTAAGGTCACTTGTCCTCGCCGCGTAGAGGACGCTATGGGGGCGGTCTCTCTAGCTGCCCTCCGCTAGCAGAGAGATGCAGTAGAGCGCAGACGATGGACTAGCAGGCCTTTTTATCTTATACGGAGCACCGAGTACACTCCAGTCACATCTTCTAGCTTCTCCCAACCTGTTTGCGACATCGCATTGTACAGTGCTTGCATTTTAGATGTCGTGCAGAGTATGCGTCGGGTTTGCGACTGTTCGGTAATGCCCGCATCTCAACCTCGCCTGCAGCTGGCCAATAGCTTATGCTTTACTCCCCGCCGCCCATATCGGAGTCAGCGATAGGCGAGACCGCCGCCCACGTCTGTCAGACGTTGGGCCTCTTGGGGAATGATTGACCTGCTGCCCAAGTCGCTCACCAACAAATTCAACGACGCAACTGTGATATCAATACACAAGCGCGACTGGAGCAGCGATTCCTCTGGCAGCAGTCTGCTGAACCCCGTCACATCACCAAGACCACGACGGGGCCGTCGACGGCAATGGAAGATCTCGAGATTCCAGCCCAGCAAAGCAATATGCTATGCAGCAGCAATCGCCCTCTTAACTGTCGTTTCGCTCTGGTGGTTTCTCCGCCCAACGTCGACCGGTGGTCTCGTTGAGATTCCGGAACCTGATGTTGATGATGAGGTTGGAAAAGATGGCCCAATTCCAATGGGAAAGTCCGTGGATCGAAATGGGAGAGAGGTGTTCTGGTGGGAGCAGTTTCCTAGGTGAGAGAACGGTTCACTGCCCCTGCCAGTTGTAACTGAGATGTTAATCTGCTTCCCAGGCTTCAGGGCTTTTATCGAGGGCGCAAAAACATCGTTCCATTTTCCGACTATGTCCCAGAGCAACAGGCAAATGCTTTTGACCCTTTCGATCCGGGAAAGCACGACGATGATGCCGAATTGATTGCGCTCCCATCGCCCTTGCCAACGAACCTCGAGGAATGCTATGTGGATGAAGAAAGGAGAATCCTGCCACCTACATTATCCGCATACAGGGGGTTACCACAAGGAATGAGTGCACCTCTGTTTGGGTCTCAAAAAGAGCTTGGCATCAATGATGAAGTGTGTTACGATCGCCTAAATCGACTGGCACCGTACGGCTTGGGACTTGCGGAAGAAGAAGGAGGGCTCGGCCAAAAGCCAGAAGGTGACCACGGAGGATCAGAGCAGGTGGTTGCGGTGGACTGGAGGGGCGTCAAATGGCGCGATGCACAGCGGAGATGCCTCGAGAAGAATTCCAGTCGGATTCGATCTCGGACCGCCTTTGTGTTTCGCACATGGAGCACCTTCCACTATACGGAATATCACATCGCCATGCTGCGCGCCATTATTAGCGAACTCGCGATTGCGTCCGGAGGCCGATACACGGTTCATTTCCTGATTCACGTCCAGGACGATACCATTCCAATCTGGGCTTCAAAAGAGCTGTACGACCAGGTACTCAGAGACAGCTTGCCTGAAGAATTCCGTGGAATGGGCACGCTCTGGTCTGTCGCGCAAATGAAGTTGATTTACCCCCCACCATTTCCCGACAGCATTGTGAACTTCTCAGGGGGCGACATTTACGACGCATATCGATCTTTACATTTCCCGCTACAGTATTTTGCATCTCGATATCCGGAATATGATTATTTTTGGCAGTGGGAAATGGACATCAGAGTCACGGGCCACTATCACGAACTGTTGAACCAAATCGAGTCCTGGGCCGGAAACCAACATAGAGACTATGCTTGGGAGCGATCATCGACGTTCTATATTCCGTCACTGCACGATTATTCGTTTGCAAACTACACTCAATCTGTCGTTGACAAGGTGAGGGCGCGCAACGAAACACCAATTTCCGGTCCACAAATACCGCAGGAGCGGCTGCTTGATATTCCAGAGCAAAAAATCCTAGATGATAACGATGAAATCACGGATCTAATCACATTAAACCCTCTCTTTAGTCCTGAACACACTCGCTGGGCCTTCCACGACGACATAACCGGCTACAACGTGACCCGTGACGGACGACCCCCTACACGCGCCGCCCTGATTACAGCCTCTCGAATGTCGCGTCGGCTCCTCCTTCTCATGCACGAGGAAACTTACCGGAACAAGCATACCATGTTTCCGGAGATGTTTCCCGCTTCCATTGCTCTTCATTATGGTCTTAAAGCGATTTCCGCCCCTCTTCCAGTGTATTTTGACCGGGACTGGCCCAGCACCCATGCCGACGAAGTCTTTAACAACGCCCCTATCAGCTTGGAGCACAAAAAAGCAGGCATGGACCACGGACACGGACGTTTTCACGGTGAAGGGGGCAGCGTATTCGGACCCGGCGAGCACGTCTTCCGCGGCGCGACATATTATTCAAACGCAGGATTTGCCGGCTATCTCTGGAGAAGATGGCTTGGTAGAGAAAATGGTAATGACGAACTTGCCTGGGAGTCGGACGGCGGGCCAGGAGGCGGGCGAATGTGTTTGCCCATGATGGTGCTGCATCCCATCAAGTACGAATGATGACCAAGTTCCACGAAATCTGACAGATTCCCTTGAGCGTTGATTCTCGGCATTTTCACTTTTGCCAGTCTCTTAAGATGAATGCACTCGCCGTTACAGGAAGGGAAAACGAATTTCGTTGCAAAGATTATGTCAACGGTCTAGCATGTGATGGGTCTGTCGCATCCGTTCTGAGAGGGCAGTTTGCCCAAAAGGCGCCTGTTATGGGGCTCTTTGCATATATCCAAGACATTTTATTGAGGCGGGATGGATACCTAGAGTTTAAGATAATGCTAATTTCACTCTGAAAAAGCCAAGTGTGACGGTTGAAAATATTGAGAGGTAACAAGACTCTTTCACATGTCCCATGGTCCCCACCATCACACGTAGTAGCCTGATATAAGCCCTTCTTGACCATTTCAGCGTGGTTCCCTGCAACCACTAGGCTTTCCAGACCACATTTGGCAAGTTTTAATCGACGGGCCATTGGGCGAGGAGAGAAATGCGGAGGGACTTGGGTGGATTTCTCGTATCGTGTTCGATTTTCCAAGCACCACCACATTCTTTGT